TGGAGGAATGATTATAGCAAACACAAACTTTTTCATTGTTCATGTGGGAACTTATTATGCTGAATTATGTTTAGGACAGACATGGAACATTGGGATCCTATCCTTTAAGATCTGACATTACTGAAATGTATTACATCAATTTCCACAGTCCTCACTTCAACAAAGTCAAACAGCATATGAAACTTCCTAAAAAGTTTCTTTCTGAGTGGCTTTAGACTTTAGACATGGTTGGACAACAATTCATGCCACCTAATATGTTAAGTTATAATATGTAACTTTTCTGCATTAAAATGTCTAAAAACAACTAGTCCTAGTACGTTATATATTTTCTTGAGTTGCAGTGTTACACTGAGTACACGTTCCCAAATCTTTACAACAATTTTCAAACCCAGAGGAATCTTTAATTTTTATCAAGGGAATGGGGAGTTTAATTTGGCCGCCTGTAAATTTTAAATATTTTAAAAGTTGTCTACACAGTTTTATCTTTGTGATGCTCATAAATCTGGAAAATTCTGAGCATTCACACATTCGTCTGCTGTAACTGATGTTCAGACACTATTTTAGCTGTATGCTCCCAAACAAGCCTCAAACAATTGGCACCTTCCCACCATCATAATATACACACCCCTGTTGTCGGTTATTGTCAATATGTGAGTTGCACAGGGAAGCAATCAAAGTGTGTAATGATGCTACCTGACAGCCCATTAAACCGGAGAGAGATGAGGATGCAATTAGATTGTCATCCACGCTGGAGTTACTGGAGACAAAACAGATGGAAGGAGCGAAAGGAGGGGAGGTTTATTTTTGGAAGGAGAGGAGTCTTTTCAGGGTGAGCGAATGATTTCTGTGCAGACATTTGACACGATATCAAGTGATTGAGACGCGATGATTATTGTGTGTGATCAGCTGTGTCGTCGAGCGTCTGTCGGCCCTGGGTTGATTCAGCTGCTGAGTTAAAAGGACAGGCTGAAGATAAAGTTTCCACTGGGGAGAAATAAAGTCTCTCCCACTCTTCAGTCACTTTGTCTTTTGAAATAATCGAGGCTTTTATAAAAAAAGGAGACTTCACTTTGAATGGAGCTCCAGATTTACTGCAGGCGATAGCTGTTCAGTGTGAGAGGCAAGTTTGCACAACACAGCAACATGAATCAGATGTTTCACTGTAGGTGTCTTCATGCAGACACAACAAATATTATGAGATGAGTTTTATGAATCATGCAAACAGATGCAAGGTGCAACTGATAAAATGTGTTAATGTGTGCTGTGTTGCTCCTCAGTGCTATTGGCTGGTGAATCTGGGGACTGTAACCAATCACAGTCCATCTGAGGGCATGTGAAGGCTGAGGAGCTGCTCCTTCTGGCTTCTTGTGGCCATTTTTGCTTCCAGCTTACACTCAGAGTGTTTGCATGTTCTGTGTTTTGTCAGGACTTTAAAGATCCACAGCTCCTCTGTACGTTGTTGTCAGGTTACCGTTAGAAAGGTTGTGATGTTGCAGTTAGATTTTAACAAATCAGTTAATTATTTTATAGGTTTTTCTTTCTGTATCTTAACAACTACCTTTAATTTCTCACCAGGACGCCTCTTAGATCACTGATGTTTCTCCTGCAATAACTTACCTGTTATTTATTAACTGTTTTACATCAGATGCAGACGAAGGTATCGGCAAAAATATTAATGAGCAGTTAAAATGTTCTTATATCTACTTAAAACTGCATTATAGTGTTACAAAGTATTAGTGAGTGTTTGTATGCTGATTGTAAAATATAAGGGGGTTATCACATTTACTGCTGGTGTTTATCCTGTTTGAAGGGACAATAATGTGAAAGAAAACAGTGCGTGATAAATTTAATTACTGTTTGTACTCCCTTCAATCGGTATTATATGCTGGAAAGCTTTTCGGTTCACATCATCACTCTCTGCTTCTCTGTTTCCCCTTCAGCGCCAACGCCTCGCAGTAACAGCTTGGCGCCAGTAGGTGGTGTGAAGTTCCACCAATGGACAACAGTGAACCTGCTAGAACAGCTCTGTAGTGATGCACAATAAAAATGTATTTATTAAGAGTCATTATCAAATATATATATATATAAAAGATTTATAAAATTATTTTTTAATATTGTCTAATATCATAACATAAAGCAGTAGATGTATACAATAATATCATCTAAAATTAATACAATACGATTATTAGTTTATACAATGTATAATTACAAATAATTATATACATTTGAAAATACACAATTAATAACTACAAGCGTTTTTATATCAAATGGATTTATAGTTAAGACCATCTTTAATAATTACTGAGAATGATGGTGAGGATAATGATGATGATATGAAGGATTACTGAAGATGAGGACGATGATGATGAAAATATTATTCAGTATGGATTATAATCGCAGTAGCCTATCGAATTGTATTGATTATGATTGGACAGTGTTAAAGCTACTGATTGATTTTAGCGTGAGGATATTAACCCATGACGTGAGCTTGAACAGTAAATCATTTTAGTGAGAATATAAACGGTGTGTGAGTGGCAGTGAAGTGCAGGTGTTCAGGGAAACCATCAACGTGTAACATCATGCTGCAATCTCCAGGTAACTGAACAGCCCATCAGAGTTAATTAAGAAGTTCATTGATCATTTTAGAGCCTCGTCAGCCCAAAATCACTTATTCAGGTACAAAGATAAAGAGAGATTACACCCAGTTTTGAAAACACTGACTCACACACGTTCTCCAAAACCGGTTTATTCGAGCACAGTGAACATTTTGACCTCTAAAAAAACACTTGTTCATGCAAGAAAAGCTGTTGAGTCCCTCAGGCTATAAATGTTACTAATAGGCTGTCTGAAAAGTCAAAAATACAACTAATTACATGAAAACTAAATGATTAATAATGCGAGTTAAAGTATTTAAAGAAAGAAGGAAGGATTATTATTTTTAAATGTATTAGTTTGTAAAGATCGCTCTTTGTGCATGTAGATTCCTTCTTGTCCTTGGGAGCATAATTGTTTTTTTTTATCTGTGATAACAAATATTCTAAACTCAAGGTTTAGCTTTTTAATAGCTTTTCTTCCGAAGTTTATAACTGTCTCCTACAGCCCTGGCCTTTATTTTTTTATTTCTAACTTTTCTTCAATTTTCTGCAGGCAAAATTTCCTTCCGATGCTGCTTCATTTAATTTGACCTAAGGGTGAAATGGAGGGGAATAATCCTGAAAGTTAAATATTCTCTTTTATTTATTGAACTGGATCTTGATTATACATAAATAAAATATTGAAACCTTTTTATTAGGCTACTTTTTCTATTCAAATATCTCAATTTATCAATCATTTTTAAACCGATTAAAATTTGTCTCCTCCGGGACTCCACAGCTGACTGATGACTCCAGAGGAGCTGTCCGGTCCGGCGTGATGCTGATCCATCAGATGCACACATCTCAAGACTTTCGCCGAACTAGACTTGGCCAAACAATTAAAAGACATTTCTGAGTCACATTCATTCGCAAGAAATATCCTTTAATTGTAAGGTCAAGTGTAGTAATCTTCAATTTCCATCTTCTTCCCTCTGAGCGGAAACAATCCTGTTAGTGCCCTCAGTTCGTCACTCTCCTCGGGTATATGAGCACACATGGCGGGTAAAACACCTGGAATGACGTCACGGGAAAGGACAGTGACGTCACGTGCACACACGCCGAGGGTCTGTGTAACATCATCAGTCAGAGGCTTCAGGCAACAGAAGACAAACATATCCAAGACTTCATTAGACCTCATTAGAGTGTTAGACCTGCAGTAGAGGCGGCTTACCACCGCGTAAAAACCCTGGAGGCAGCAGCGCCGGTGTGTTGTGAGAATCGCTGCTGCTGACTTGTTGAAAACTCCCCTGGCACATCTCCCTCCTCTCCTCTCCTCCTCTACATCTCTGCCTGCCCGAGTCTCCTTTCCCGTGGAGCTGAGGAGTCTACCTCCCCGTTTACTCTCATCTATACCTTCCCCAAACCCCCGCTGTCACGCCTCGATCTGCGTTTTAATTTTTGATACTTCGCTCCCTCTCCGTTTCTGAAAAATCCTCCATGCAGCGCTAGGAAGGTTTTACGCACGCGGCGATGCCAAATCCTCTGCTCGCTTTGCATCCGGACGCTTGGGCGCAACATTAGAACAGAACGTGTTGTCGGAGCTTTATTTATTCCCAGCTGAGAGAGATCACCTTAAAGTGGAACCTTCTTGGATACTCGGTATCTTCTGTCCGCGCGCCGCGCGTCATCCACAACCTCTCCAAGCTGCCAGCGGGAAATACCGCTTTGCGCCGATGTCACACTTGATCCCATATTAATACAGGCTTCTGCACCTCTAGACATCTACACAACCCCCCCTTGTTGAGATTAAGTTGGTCAGGTTAGCTCATATAGAACGGCTACATCTTCCGTTTTGTCTTTCCATCACGAGAAAATGAAAAGAACCCGGGCAAAACCAAAATTTTCTTGAATTTACGCACGGACACCGAAGCCACAAGCACAAAAAGAATGATGTGATGTATCTGCTACACGCGGAGTAAATCCATCGCATGCAACAGCTTCATTGCAACGCAGCGATGCAGAGCTCACGGGTCCTCTTGTCGGCGTTGAATAAACGAACTTCGTTCGGAGGGGAGAGCGCGTTCAACGCGTGAAACATGAAGTCGGGCTGTCGGAAGTTCATCACCGGCACCGACGACCTGCCTCCCTCTGCAGTGTAGAGTCATTCCGCAAAACCTACCGAGAAAGCCAGTGTCCGTCTCGCACCCTCACTCCGTCTCCTCCGCGGTGCGCACGGGCTCCCATCCATCCCTCCATCTCTCTTCATCTCCATCCCTCGCCTCTCTTTTCTACGGTCGGGCTTCCAGCGCCGTGGATAGAGGCTCTGCAGTCACGTGGGTCGGGGGAGTAGAGAGAGAAGGAGAGTGAGAGAGAGAGAGAGAGAGAGAGAGAGAGCGCGTCCCTCCTCCTCCTCCGCAGTTTGCGGTGTGTTATGTCTCAGACTCGGAGGTAGAGAGTCAGAGCTGCTAGTCTGGCGGATCTCAACCTCTGAAACAAACCCCCGGTGTCTTCTCTCATCCGTCCCCGCTTCCCTACTCACTTACCCGGGTTTGTTTCTTTCCGGAGCCTTGGACGCTTCTAATTCTTTCTTTTTCTACCCTTCTTCTTTCTCTCGACTCCGGCCAACAGTTTGGTCTTTGGGATTTGGTTTTTTATTACTATTCGGTGGTGATTTCAACACTGTTCCTTGCTGCTGCTGCTGCTGCTGCTGCTGCTGCTGCCGCCGCCGCCGCTTTTACGCACCGACGCATATTTTGGATTTGCTGGTCACTGGAGAAAAACACAACAATCAGCGAGGTGGATCCGTGGATGCGCCTTTTTGGCTCAAACTGGAGATGGAAATGCTGACATTGTTATTTCATTCCCTGTGGATATTGCAATGCAACACTGTGAGCGCCGACTCCATCATTCACATTGGTAAGACACCAGCCGGGGCTTCTTTTTTTTTTTTTTTTGGCTTGTGCAGGGCTTTGGCTGAAGGGAGAGACAGGCTGGTGGCTGCACGCAGGCACGGCTTAAAACACAAATTGTGAGCAGAAAAGCAGGCTGCTGATGGGTTTGTGAAATATGGACAGATTAGTGGTGTTCAAGTTAAGTCATGACAGAATTTGAATGTTAGAGTTTCCATACGTGCACTGATCATCCTCTTCCCTCTGGCAAAAAAGGACCCGACTGCACACCTGATTATCATTCCGATCCGTGCCAGTGAAATGTGTAGGAAGGAAGGAGGCTGTTGCATCCAGGTTCAGACACACAGAGCGCATCCTGATAGAAGTAACCGCAAAGTCTTGCGCCGCGCCATCCTCCCCTCGATCCATCCATCTTTCCTTCCTTCCTTCTCTCCTCCCCAGGCAGGGATAGCTCATGTCGATGCGTATTCTCATTCACATGCAGAAAACCTGAGGCTGGCATGAGAAACTGACCCGACGTGGGTGTTTGGAGGGTTTCGCTTGATCCATCCATCCTCCTCCCTCCTCCTCTTCCTCCCTCCTCCTCCTCCTCCTCCTCCTCCGCCTCCTCCATCCCTCTCTCTCTCGCCTCCCCTCATCTATAAGCCTGAACTTTGAATTGGACGTGAGTGAAATGTTAATCAACTCTGCCAGGGAAAGAGATGACAAAGGGGACAAGCGCCGACTGTTTGGGCTCTGAAACAACGTTGGCAACCAAAAGCCATTTGGCGAGCTCGGGAGGCGAACACCACTTTCTGCTCGGGTCTTCTTTTTAATCATTTGATTTCTTGTCATTTTAGTCAAGTCACTTTTTAGAAAAAGTCCGAGTTGATGGTGAATACAAGGTAGTCACAAAGTATCGGAGGGGAATCCGAGAGTAGAGCAGAATAAGACACCACTGCCTGATCACCCACTCACAGCCGCACGCACTTTTCTTTATCAACTCCCCAATTTGCACTAATTCCACTCAGAGTCTCCACTTTGCTCTGAGATGATTGGATGCTGCAAGCAGTTTGGAGGAGAGCCATCCAGATTAAAAAAGGAGGAAATAAAAACAATAAAAATCCAAGGGTTTGACATTTCAGATCTCTGCTGCAGCTCAGCCCATCAAAACCGACCAGCGGCAGCACTGCGGTGGCCCGTGTGGCTCAGCCAGGAGAGGGGAAGAGAGAGGAGGGGGCGGAGGAAGCGGATAGGGTGGAGGAGCGGGGAGTCAGAGCCATTCAGCTAATAAGAATACACTTCCTACTTCAAGTGATTTTTTTCAAAAGACACAGTGACAGATTGCTTCTAAAAAGCTGCTTCTCCATCATGGAAATGTGTCAGGCAGTGTTTGATAAACATAATTTACAGGCTACAACACTTAATAATGACAAACTAGCATTACATGAGATGACTCCTAAGCACCAGAATGTGCTGGATATTCGTGCCAGTAGTTACTATGGGACAGTGGGAGTCTGTTGTTTCCTCTTTCGTTTGTGCTGGCTGTCTAATTATATAATTATATTTATTTGTACACATAGAGATAGCCTTTATTGGCTATAAAACCTGCTGTAGACCACGGAAAGACATCATTTTGCAAGTATATTTGATATTTTGGATGAATGGAGGGACAGATGGATGGATACTTTACTGTCCTGCGTCCACACATGGAAACAACAGAGAACAGTGATACAGGATTATCAAGAACACAGAACAGTAAATACAACAAATAAGGGAGATGATTCCAAATAGTGAGACCAGACTTGAACATGAAACCACGCTGGTGGTACTACTGATGTACTGGGCCAATTTATGAGCAAAAAACACAAATGAAAAAGGGAAATCTGAGCTGATATAGATAGATTTAGCTAGGGTATGGGTTTAGTTTTTATGCTCTAGAGAAGAAAGTCTATTGGTTTCAGGAGCTGCTTGAGGAGTTTAACCTGCTACATGTTAAAATACATTTATTGAAATCTGGTTGAAACAACAGTTTCATGTAACTCAGATGCCTAAAAAACTCTCTTTTAACCAAATGTATCCTGGTGCAGCCTGGTGCCAAAATGTTGTAGGTCTTCTGCTCATGCACGTATCTTGTGCCCAATCTTTTGCATCTTTGATCTTATATCTCATCACTCTTCAGGTAAAAAGAACCCAGCTGTGTTTGTGGCTTCAGGACAATGTTTTACTAGAGAGGCTGAATAATTGTCTCACCCGAGAAGGAGCTTATGGCCGAAATTCAAGCCCAAACATGAAAACAAGTGTTGTACAATTGTCATTGTGAATCTAGCCCTCGACATCTGGCTTTTGTTGCATGTGTGGACAGGCCAGGCGGTGGATCCCTGCAGGTTCTCGCAGTACAAATCACAGCTTGTAACTTGGAGACATGTGAACTCACTCCCGTAATGCCGCAGCAGGAAACCAAGCAGCTGCAGGAGGCAAGAATCTTTGCAGATCCAACACGTATTTTTTCCCTTCAGGATTTTCAGCTCTTCAGTGATTTGATTTTCTTCAGACTGGACCCCATGCCTAGCTGCAAAAGCAGATTATTTCAGATTTAAAAGTATTAGAAAATGCTCCTAGGTCTTTGCAAAACCACTCACACTGCTGTACGTAACAGGTTGTCTATGGCTATGGTTTTGTAACTTTTCTGATGCAATAATCCATCATGTTACAAAGGGTTCCTTGTGGCACAACGGACTTGTAGAGAACCATCATGGTGCTACGAAGAACTCTTCAGTCAATAGGACAAGCTAAAGTCAAACCTGTAGTGTTTTTTAACTGTTTAGGAACTACAGTGGATTAATAGTTCTGTTTTTCTTGCATACTAGACCAGGTGGTTCTCTTATTCTTACAGAGAACCAATATCTTTGTAGAATATGAATGAAGAACCAGCTGCTTATGATGAAGATGTCAGATCCAGTGGTTCCCAACCTTTTTGGTCATGACTCTTCTTAGTGATGGATTAATGTTCACTTGAGACCCTACATCAAAGGCCTCAGTGGACTGCAGGCATGAAAGTATCCAGTTCTTCACAAGAAACAAGCAATGGTCTGAAATGTAAGCATATTTTGTGTTTCTTTCCTTAAATGGTTTTGTGACTTCTTAGATTTTTCTTGGAAGCCCCTTGATGGGAACCACTAGAATAAAGATTCCACTGAGAACCAAAAAATGTCTGAAATCTGTAGGATTATGTCAAGACTTTAGTAGCACCACATGGGCTACCAAAGCAATTGTTTTGGCTCAATTGGATGACAATAATCTTGATAACTAGATAGCTTTCATAATGACAATGTTTGTAATTCTAAGTGCTAATTTTCACAATAAAATAAAACAATTCCACCCAAAAATACACTTGAAAAAAATGTGTAGCTGCATGAACGCAGAGTAAAATAGGTTTTGATTTGAATGAAAACAGTCTGCAGCCTGAACTATCCTCTCCCTCCTCCCCGTCCTTATAGCTGATCTGTGGTTGGCTCGCTGCGTTCAGAGCCTCCGTTGTTTCCTTGAACCAACTGACAGTCCGACTCTGACTGACTTGGCAGCGTAACGCAGCGCCCAGATCAGATGTGACAGTGTTCCAACCTCAGCCCCGAAACCCCTGCCCGAGCATCTGTCTCGTCCAGCCGCGTGGCTTTATCGCCTGTGACATATCCCGGTTTGTTTGTCCCTTCTTCTCTTCTGCTCCCTGTGTAGGATCAGTGGCAGGCAGTGGGTGTCGCAGTGTGGGGGTTGTTGTAAAAGAGCTGATACAGATAAAAACGTGAAGCGAGCCTTCGGTCGACCTGCTTGAACCTCTGACCCACTTGCTGTGTTTAAATGCACCAGTGGTGCGAAATCCTGCTGTTGAGGTTCAAGAGTGTGCAGGTGGTTTCTCTAATTAGTCCCGCCCCCTATTCTTTGGCTGAATATGCACAAATCAGTGAAAACAGCTGTTGCAGGGTTTTGTTGACACTGGAAAGAAATCCAGTGGTCGAGAAGCTTCAGTTCATCTGATGAAAGGTCAGGACAAGGAGCAGCAACCTGGAGGCTTAAATCAATTTTGGCTTTTAATTAAATCTCAGATATCAAGCTGTCAGTGAGGTCCTGAGATGATGAATGCTCTCAGGGGGCTTATAAGAACATCTCTTTCCCAAAATGAGGAAGGTAAAATCATTATGAAAAGCAGACAAATACTAAGTTGTCAAACCTCAACAGCAGCTCCTGCAGAATGATGAATCTGATGCAATGATATCGAACTGTTGTTTGCAGAAAACATGAACTCAAAAACATGTTTCTGCGATAGACACCTTAGTTCCTCTGAAGCAAAACCTTATTATCTTAGATTTAAGACAACAGTGTGCTACCACCTCTTTATTTTTTCAACATGACTCACCTGCACAGGGACTGGACCTCAACCCTATCCAACACCTTTGGGATAAACTGGATCTGAAATGAAGGTATTTGTCCTGGGGTCTTATCGGCTGTCGGTCTGACTGGTTTTAGTTTCAACAGTTGGGACTGCGTTACATTCATCTTTTTACCTGCATTGTACATGATGCAAAGCGGTTTTGACCAGTCCACTAAAAGGCATTCTGGATCTTAAGTATACAAGTTAAGTAAGTCACATGATGTTAAACACACAGCTAACATTGTGAAATGGTTGCAGTTTGTTCAGGTTTAGGCAACAGTTTGTTCAGGTTTAGGCAACAAAACTACTTTGTTTTAACTTAAAACATTAACTGACTCAGTATTTGGACTTGGTTTCACACTGGTCTGCAGTATGAAAGTCCTGCGTTTCTTTCACACTGCTTGGACAATCAACCCATACAGTGATAGCTCAGGTTTGGTCTCCACCAACTCTGCCTCTTAAGCTGCTGGTTGGTTCATTTTGCTAGGCTCTAACTTTGTTTGTCCACTGTAGTGTGGGGGCAAGTAGCGTGTAGTTGGTTTACGATAGTGTCCTGCTGCTGCTGGAAACAAGTTTGATGAAAGCGCTGGACAGAATTA